AAGGCAGAGGAGGAAAAGAAGAAGCAAGAGGCAGAGGCCAAGAAGCTCGAGGAGGCGAAGAAGAGGGAAGAGGCTGAAAAGGCCCGAGCCGAAGAAGCTGCTAAGCGCAAGGCAGAGGAGGAGGCGAAGAAGAAGGAGGCGGAGGCCACGCGGCATGGGAGTTCATGCAACGGTTGCTGCGGCCAGCAATTGTTGCCTTTGCATGACTGAAATTCAAGCTGTCTGAATCTTTTCATGTTCTCGCACGGGCATGTAGATGAACCAGATTTTGCTTTGGTTCAACCTGCCTCCTGTTGACATCGCACATGTGTGCTGCCGAAGGCAAAGCGATTGGCAGAGCAGGAGAAGAAGCAGCAGGAGGCAGAGGCCAAGAAGCTGGAGGAGGCAAAGAAGAAGGAAGAAGCCGAGAAGGCTCGTGCTGAGGAGGCGGCCAAGCGAAAGGCAGAGGAGGAGAAGAAGAAGCAAGAGGCCGAGGCCAGGAAGCTGGAGGAGGCAAAGAAGAAGGAGGAAGCCGAGAAGGCTCGCGCAGAGGAAGCGGCCAAGCGAAAGGCAGAGGAGGAAAAGAAGAAGCAAGAGGCAGAGGCGAGACGACATGTTGACCCCATTTCCTGAGTATTATCCTGGGGTGACCTGCACGGTCTTGACCGGGTCGGTGCGGAAGACTCGCCTTTCCGGGAGGGTTGCTCCTGAACTCTAGACAGTGCTTAAAAAATCCTCTATCCTGGGCGGCGGATGATCACCGGGACCCGGACATCGGGTACTTCATCTACGGCCGCCTTTGATGAGCTCTTGTTCGCAGGGGCAGTGATGGAGCACGGGATTCTTTGCCGGAGCGGTGCTGCCCCTTGCGACCGCGATAAATTAGAGCGAATCTGACTAACTTGCCAAAGGCATCGGTCGCCGGATGCATGTCAGCAACTAGCCACGTGTCAACTTGTCCTTGTCAACGGTGCACGAAATTCACCTGTGCTGCGTAATTAGGCAGGGCATCTGAGCAGTTCCGTTCCCTGACCGCTATTTTTCAAATTCTGGGACCTGGCACAATCGACCAGCTGGTGTCACTGGTGTGTGCCTCTCCGCACATACCTTTGCCGACGTCGCTGCTGACACCATCTTGTCAAGGCCAAGAAAGCTGCAGATGAGAAGGCAGCAGCAGAAGCGAAGCAGGTGCGCATGACACGTCGGTATTCGTCGGTACGACCCGGCTTCATGTTCAATCGAGTTCCCACCCAACGGCGGTGCACTGGGTGTCGTGCGACAGATAGCTTGTGACTCGTTGTCCGGGATGGCAGTGACAGCACATCCCCGCCTCCTGTGACAAGCGCAGGCACGTGAAGAGAAAGCGAAAGCAGAGAGAGCAGCTGCCGAGGCCGTAACAGCCCGTTTCTTCGCCGGGGAAGGTGGCCTGTTTTCCACTTTCTTGCGGATTTTGATGCCAGGCGAAGAAAGCTGCAGATGAAAAGGCAGCCGCAGATGCCAAGAAGGTGCCATGTGTGTTCGGGACATGTCCCGGGAAGGAGTTCGCATCAGGCAGATTGATTCTACTCGGCAGCACTGCTGCTGCTGCGGTCACTTTCGGAGTGTCTGATCATTCGCTGCAGCAAACTGGGTTACCCAAATAACATGATCCAATGTTTCGGCACGTGTAAGTGTAGGTGCAGGTGAGTGCGTGGGTGTGCTTGTCAGGAAATGTTGCGAGGGGTTTCATTTCGGGGTCCAGGTTACGCACAACGCTTTCCCGTTTTGCCGCCAGGGTTACTGCAAGCTCCTGAAGAAGTAAGAGAGCGAGAGACCTGTTGTCGATGTGGCCTGGATTCAAACGCAGGCACGTGAAGAGAAAGCGAAAGCAGAGAGAGCAGCTGCCGAGGCCGTACCAGCCCGTTTCTTCACCGGGGAAGTTGGCCTGTTTTCGACTTTCTTGCGGATTTTGATGCCAGGCGAAGAAAGCTGCAGATGAAAAGGCAGCCGCAGATGCCAAGAAGGTGCCATGTGAATTCGGGACATGTCCCGGGAAGGAGTTCGCATCAGGCAGATTGATTCTACTCGGCAGCACTGCTGCTGCTGCGGTCACTTTCGGAGTGTCTGATCATTCGCTGCAGCAACCTGGGTTAACCAAATAACATGATCCAATGTTTCGGCACGTGTAGGTGCAGGTGAGTGCGTGGGTGTGCTTGTCAGGAAATGTTGCGAGGGGTTTTGATTTCGGGGTCGAGGACACGCACAACGCTTTCCCGTTTTGCCGCCGGGGTTACTGCAAGCCCCTGAAGTAAGAGAAAGAGAGAGAGAGAGAGAGGGATATATATATATATATGAGAATATATATGTGTGTGTATATATAGAGGGAGAGAGAGAGAGAGAGAGAGAGAGAGAGAGGGAGAGAAAGCTGTGTCGTTGTTTTGCAGAACGGGGGACAGGGCGAGTACGCCGATCTTCTTTTTGACATGTTGCGAGAAGCCCCCAGACCCTTTAGGCCTTTGACTCAGTTGTTGCAAGCCTGTACTTCCCCTCTGTTCTAGCGTTGTTGTTGGCCTGGGCCTCAGTTCTCGCGGTGCACAGGTTCTGTAGCTCAGAACTAGGACGAGGGGGACAAGGGTTCCAGAATGCTGATTGTACCCGGGGGTGACTTATCCAGGTAGTTCCAAGATGGGTTCTCTATGTCTTGCAAGTGGTCCTGTTACATTCTTGTTATGTCGGAGGCGGTCTTGCTTTTAGCAAGGAGCTCACTTCCGGGGACATGCTATGAAGCAGAGAATTCAGTTGGGCGTCTATGCGGGGGAAGGTAACGGCTTTTGTTCACTCAGCATCTTTCACGGCATGCCCCCACAGAGACGTCGTGGTGTCCCAACACGAACTGAATCAGTGCATAGGGGGACCTTTGGTTTTCGAATCATGTTATCATATCTCAACGGCACTGTTTCAGTTACTGGTAACAGTTCGTAGAGCCAGTACTGAAAACAACTTTTCACACCCTCCGAAAGCNNGAAAGCCCCAATAACAATTGGGGGGCCAAGTGGCCGGGGGGTTTAACAGACCCCTCATGCCCTGGGGAAGAAGAGGGAGAGAGAGAGAGAGAGATACCGTAGCCAGTTTGGCTCAAGTACTGCAACCTTTGCTTGGAGGTCTGTTCCGCCTCCTTGCATCGGGGGAGGAGGCAGGGGGTTAACCTGGGGCCTGTCCCTAGGGGAGCCTTCCTGTCTTCTTCCAGCGGTGCTTGAGCTAACATAACCGACGCTGTTCTGCTTAAGAGGCCCCAAACACCTTCGCTAGGATTCCTCGCAATAACCGTGACGGGCAAGAGTGCTGATCTACTTTCTTGTGGGGGACCCAGTGAGTGCAAGATCTTCCTCGTCGACACCTTTGCGGGGCGACAGACTTCTTCACCCACCGCCACCTAGCAGTGCTAGCCACGGCGACCCGGGGGAACACGAACGCTGGGTGAGGCGCACCATCACCTCAGAGTCCGTGACTTGGGTCAAGAACGACGAGATAGCATTGAACAACTACGTGGGCCATGGCTGGACTGGAGGGGATGGCAGGACCGGAGGGGAAAGTTTGCAAACTATGCCGCTATGCCCAAGGGATGTGTCAGATCGGTTTTAGGAAAAGCCACGAACGCACCGATCCACAATGCAGGCTGCATGGGGTGACAGGTCGAGCATCGGGGGCAAAATCAGCTCCGAAGCGCCAGGCCGGCCCTCCCCTCGGGGGGGAGACACCTGCCACGACCTCTACTACGACGGCCTGCCCCGACAAGGTCCTCTTTCGAACGCGGAGGGGATTGCATCTGCAGTACGACCCGGAGCCGAGCATAGACCAATGGATAAACTCCGAGGTGAAGTTTGACTGGGAGAAAGGGAAATATATGAAGACTACAGGGGAGGTGCTCAGTGCGACCGAAGAAAGCACTTTCGGGCACTACCGGAGCAGACATATTATTCGTTGCCGTGCGGGGGACTTGGCAGATAAGCTTACCCGGATTACGGACAAGTACCTCCCGCGGGTCGCCAACGAAAGCAGAGTCTATATCATGCGCTTCCCCGAGACGGTCCCCAAACTGCTGAAGCGAGCGCGCAAGATCCGAAGACGGATTAAGGCTACTAAGCAGGGGGACACCAAGGTGGCAGTGCAACCCCCAAGGAGGGGGAAGAGACAGAGGCATGAGACAAGCGGGAGCACAACAGAGAGCCCAGTGCCAATGCCGAGGGGAACAAAGACAGAGCAGCATGCGACAAAAGAGCACGACGACGAACAGGAAAGCATCCCGGACTGGGGGGATGATGTCGTGGATGATGTCGTGGACACCGTGGAGGAGAACCTTGCAATGGCGACCGCTGCTCATATGGCCCAGGGGGACGACGCAACCTCTATGTGGCCTTGGGGGAATAGAGGCAGACCCTCAGACAGGGGGGAAAGCGTTGGGGTCCTCGCCCAACGACCCAACTTGCCTAGTGCAGTACCCAGAAGGCAGAGTTCACAAAGGGGGAGCACACTCCAGCAAGCTGTGCAACTGGTCCAAGCACATATGGCGCAACGACGCGAAGAACGGGGACGACTACGACCAGAACTGAGCCGTGAGTGAGTCGGAGGGCTTTTTGCCCATACTCGTACCTCGCCTTCCTTATGCGGCCTAAAGGGGGGATATTCAATTGCTTCAGTGCTTGGTTGTGCTTTCTGCGTTGGGAAGGGGATCATGTACCTCAATCCTCTAATGTAGTTTTCTGAATGGCAAACCGAACCATTCCGTGAGTGCATGTTCGATCCAACTCGAGTAACTCGACACCAAATAATTTGGACATATAGGCGGGGGAGCGAAATCTTTAAACGGGCCATATGTCTGGCTCTTCTCAGGTAAACTCATTCCGATCCGGGCCGAACGCCCACAATCCCCGCGTCTTTTCAACGCCCCTCTAGCCCTGCTTGTCCTTTCCTGCTGTGGGGGACGGATTGACCAGACAGTGCGGAACTTAGTTTGGCTGCATGTGCGAGCTTAGTTTAGTTGAGTTGTTTGTGTTTCCGGGGAACGACACTGGTCAACCACCCCAGTTTACTTTCATTGTAAAGCCGAGCCCCCTATGGCAACTTCCCGTAGGGGGGACCGGAAGACCCCTTGAACTGCAGGGGCGCGCTCGCGCGCGGGGGGTAGAGCTGGACCGCTCTGCTCCTCATACCTGGTAGAGAGAGAGAGAGAG